AGGCCCTTGGTTTGGGTGCCGCGGGCGGCAGCTCGCGCCAGGTAACGCGGCCCCGCGCGGACCCGTGTGCGCGGCGGCGCTGCGGGGGAGGCCCCCGGCACGAGGGCTGCTCCTGCTGGAGCCGGGCTGAGGCGACACGGCCTCTTCCAGGCCCGTCCTGCGGCCGCGCTGCGTGTCCTCCCCGTGCTGGAACCGCAGCGACCCGCTCGCTGCTTCCATAGCAGCATCCAGGGAAACACGTGGCTATCCCTCCTGCCAGATGTGTTCTAGTGTCCCAGCTTTAGTCAGCACAGCTCAGCAGAAGTGTAAGGAAGTTGTGTCTTAGTACTGCTGCTCTCTATCAGGTAACCTTGATGGCGTCAGCATCTACTGACACTGAGCAGGATTTATCAAATTGTATTTTAATTCAGAGTTTATCTTCTCAGTTGATAGTTACCATTTTGTCTCCTCACCTTAGACCTGTAGTCTTTAGGTCGTGTAATTTGTGTGTTATGCAATGTGCCAGACTGGCTGAAATGAGGCACCTCTCTTCTGTGGTGGCTTGAGTTTGACATCGTGGCCAAGGAAACACATGCTGTTATCAGGTAAATACATCAGGATAGATTACAGCACTCTGTATATGTAGGATTGGTTTCTTCTTTTTTTCACCTAAAGAGTTCAGAGTACGATATGTACTTTTCTTGCTCATAATTGCAGGTCTTGAAGATATGTTGAATCCAGGCAAAAAGAAGCTTCTCCTTGTAATGTTTTTTACAAACAGCGAAACAGTGTGAGCAAAGAAGTTACTTTATGAAGTGTCTGATCAGAAATCCTTTCCACTGAGAGGAAATCAGTCTCTGCATTCCTCAAGGCTGAGTCTCAGCAAAGGTGGCAGTGCCACTGGAGGGTTTTGTGATGAAGACAGCAGGGCAGGCCCCATGCTAATCAACAAACAGCAGCAGCTTTTAGATAACCACCAACCCGGACTAGATCCAGACTTGCAGCCCAGAAGGTAAATGACATTTATGTCTTGTATGACTGGATGTACTGGTTGTCTGTTCCTGTTAATGTAGATCTTCTAGCCATGACCTGTGTCTGTTCTGAACAGATCTGCAAAATTCACTGCCTTTTCACCTGCTTCTGGGTCTTGGGCAAACAGTCCTCTCAGTGCAAGAGCCTGGGAGGCAAGTTCCAAATAAAGATCAGTTCAGGACAACGTTCACATGGCACCTCTCTTGAAATGCCATTTTCTACTTCCTCTTCTGCAAATAGTTTGAAGGAATCACATTCCTTCCTGTTGTGTCTGCTGCATGATAAATAACAATTAGTAGGAGCCTCTAAGAATTAGAAATTCTTTACCCACTAGGAAATAGAATTAGTCAAGAGAAAGTGTCAATGGAAACAATAACACAGTCTTAAATCCAACATGAAGCAACAGCACATGTTTACAGCACTAAGAGGCCAAACAGCGTGATGTTGGGAGGGAAGTTTGGGGGATATTCTCCTTCCAGAAGAAGGTAATTTATAACAACACAGATATAGTGCTAGGTAAAGGAAACCATGCAGAGACAGCAAGGCACTGTCATTACTGCAGCTTGCAGATCTCTCTGCAGTTCTAGCCACTGCCAAGCTGAGATGTTGCTTACAGACTAGCAGTATATATTGCACTAGACAAGGTGGAGAGAAGAGAGATTCCTTGTTTTTTTGCCTGTGTGGGAATACAAATCTGAGAAGTTACGGTGAGTAACACCCTCACTTCTCAGTGCTTAGTTCATAATAGGGCACTGTATGTTAGGTGAATAACGTACTGGGGACACATCTGCATAATAAAGACAAATGCTAATGCAAATTACATCTTGCAACCTGCAATACCATAATTACAGACTTCATGGTTTGTAAACATCACAATTAAATACAACTGAGCACATTCTTACCTATTTGCATCTTCTGCTATAGATAGTGCCCGTATGTGCAACTGGTTTGATACACTGTAACAGAAGAGTTAGTGCAATTTACAGAGTCTGTGAAACACTTAAAATGAAAACTGGCCAGCTGGGTTTTTGTTTGTTTGTTTTTGTTTTTTTATTTTGACAGATGTCCCAATAATCCTTCCTGCTTTTAACGAATACACATTTGACTTACTCAATTGCACTGACACTAGCTATTTTGTGCTCAAAACACAAGTTAGTCCATTATAAAAAGTACTCATCTTTAAAGTATAGATGCCCTTTTTTTCTTCTCAGATACAACTATTACCTGTTGATGAAGAACTCTCACCTGCCAAGGGCTTAGCCAAGTGCCAGCATGTGCATATGCAGAGGGAACACTGCCAGTATTAAGAGCGACACAGCCCTGGCTTCACATGACTTATCTGGGAGGGGACAGCAGCTCTTGCTTGGAAACACCCCTCTCTCCTTTGCCTAAGCCCTCATAAAGTTTCCACAGAGGTGGTGAAAGGTGAGAAGTTGAGCTCTGGGTTCTGAATAAACAGCAAGGAGCTCTCCTAGGCTACAACCTGCGGGAGGTGAGCAAGGAATGGGCAGCCACAGTTGGGGGTGTAGTACCTTGAAAATGTGAGAGAAACTTCAAGGAAAGCATTTAAAGGCAATGTCATGTGTCTTTACAATGTGATTGTGAGCTTTTCTAGGAACTCTGAATTTGGATCCATGTCGTGCTTGGCAGGGTAGAAGACCACCAGACACAAAGTCGAACCCTCTGTCCGTCCACAGAACATGGCTAATAAGCAACTTCTGAGGTGACCAGGTAGGTCATCCTTAAGCTTACGTTTATATGTTTACAAATAGCTGCAGCCTTTTTTATCCTTGGGCAAGGCTGTTCTCCCTTGCCAGTGCGCTATAAGGGTTGATTCCAGTGAAGCAAGTTCCAGAGTCTTGAGAAGACTCAAGTAGGAGGGAAAAAGGCATCGCAAGCAGGACTGAGGCAGGCAGGGCATCGCCACGGGCACAGCCTGGTGTTCAGCTTCTGCACCCGCCAGCAACTGGCACACTGAACCAGACACACATCCTGGCCAAGTGCAAGGAGAAGGAGGATCCTGTGCAGCCGGAGCTTGGGAAGGCTTGGCAAGAGGAAATATAAGGGAACAACAGGTATGGGACACTAACAATAATGTACATTTTAGAACAGATGCAAAAAATATAGAGAGCAGTTCTAAATGCTTTCTAAAGACTTTCAGATTATGTAAAGCATTTTAAAACCTGATGTAGACAGACTAGCTTTTTCTGATAAATGATAAGTTCAGTGAAAACAGACCTCTAAATGAGCAGTTGTTGGAGAAATGAAGAAGTGCTTGAGAATAAAAATTGTATTTTGTATTACAATTGTTTACATAGTAGCATATGCTTTTCTTTTTACATCAAGAGTGCGATTGGCAAAATAATTGTTCTGAGTCAGATGAGGCAACATTATCCAACAAAAAGGAATAGGTAATGAGATGTTGAGGGAAAAAATCATGATTCATCAACATTTGTCTTGCTTTAATGTAAGTCAGGTAAGATTTTACTCTGTACATGCGACAATGTAGTGGACTGACATTGTGGAGGGGAGGAGGCAGATACAGCAGTGCTATTTCAAACTAGAAGACTTTGCCTAAGTAAAACTTCGGTCGTAACTTGGTAATTTCAGAAGGAAGAAGACAGTAAGTGTCATTGTTTTAGCGATTCTCCAAATTAGCAGAACATAAGACAGAACCAAGGAATGGTTCTTTCCCTTCATAAGAACTTGAAGCAGAGTCACACTCTCCATGCACTCCCCTTTCTAGCCTTTTTCATGCTTAAGATTTAGTAGAGTTTGACTCATCATGGAGTCTTTAAGGAACAAAGTGTTTTCTTAGAGACAGTAGGCACATCTGCACCAAAAGGGCCTGTGTGACAAGATGTGAATATACTGAATGTTACATAATATAAAATATATCCTCATTATCAGGATGTCTTTTGCTAAAGAAGATCAGATTATAAATAACTGTGACAAATTATTTACACTGTTCAGACTAGCAGGTTATTTCTGCTTGTTACTCAGATATTCTTCATCGGGTATGTTAGAATCCTTGTTTTTTTCAATAAGGTTGTGGCTGACTAACTTGATATATTGGAAACAAAAACGTACATGTGATCTTGGTAAACTAGCTGTAGCAGCTCACAAAGTCCTAACGATGAGGAACATTAAATGCAGAGATAGAAAAGAAGTCTGGGAACAATGTATCTTCTTTAGCACATTCCTATATCAAGAAGAGCTCTATTCTTTTTGACATTAAGTTAGCTTAGATGGAGATTTGGGAGTTAGAGCTCATGATTCCTAATGTCAAATCATTTCTTGCTTAATTCCATTTTTTTCCTTGCCAGAATAGCTTAGCATAAATTGCTTCAATTTAAGTTATCAGTTTGGTGAATTTGCCTCATCCCTTTCAGTCTATAAAGAAGCAGAAGCCCAAGTAGGAAGATTTTTGTGTTATACCCTTTGACTTGCATACTAACGTATTGCAGGGAAATAGAGCTGGCAAACTAACAGCATTGCATTTGTAAGAATGTACCCAGAGCCCTTTACGTTGCAGCTAAGGTGTCTGCTCCTGTCTAATATGTGAACTTTTTTTTGGCAGTATATTCCTCCTCTCTGAAACGCTGCAAAAGCAGTATTCCCAGGAGGCTTGCTAGAGTCATAAAGGTAATACAACATCATTTCTAAAGAATTTCATTCATTATTAACCATAGCTCGTCTTGAAGCAAATATAATCTTATCATATTCTCAAACTCTGATACACAGTTCTTTGAGCATGTGAATGAAGGATGTGTGGTGCTCTACCGTGTTAATTCTTGTTGGCACAGATTCACCTAGTTACAGCAGGATTTTCCCCCTTTAGTGTTAGTTTAATAGCATGTCTTCATTATGGAGGAATACATGTCCAATACCAGTATTTATTTACACTACCATTTAAGGGAAGCTGTGTAACAACCTACCAGTGCAACAGTCAGAAACTTTGATTTTAGTTGTTCTCCCATTCCCATACACTTACTCCCTGTTTGCCTTCCAAGACAATACTAAAACTCTTCAGGAAACATGGGGCCAAACAAAGGTGGGAGCAGAACAAGGCAGAGCAAAGATTTTACAGTTTTGCAACTGAACTGGAATTGTAGGGCAGGCTGTTTTTCCCCTCCAGCTGTATAGAGTTCACTTACTTAAATCTCTTTTATTTCAGATGAAAAGAGACTCTGGATGTTCCACTGTGGCTGAGCAGCAGAAGCAGGTCAGCTTTTAAAGGAAGTGTTTTGCAGGTGCTTTGGAAGACCAAACACATTGAATCAGCTTCTGAGAAAAGTGGCAAACATTTCTGTGTTCTGGTTGCTTTAGCATGAGTAGGAGCTCAGCACTTGTCACTTCAGTAAGACTTGCCCAGCATTTTTTTCCCTTCTGGTGGACTGCAGCTACAGCACTAAGTGGTGAAGAGCTTGTTGCCTGTTGTTGGCACGTCAAGAGACCTCAGCACTGCAGTGCGGCCAGAAGCTGGGCCAGCTAACTAGGCCAGGTCCTTGAAGTGGTCACGCTAAACCCTGTTTCCTAGTTGGTATGCCCTAGTCTCTTTAGTTGCAGCTAGCAATGCTATTCTGGGCTTCAAATGTTGGCCAACTTGTGGCCGAGCAGCAAGATCTCAGTCGACTTGTGGATCAGAATTTGTGAACTACTGTGCTGGAGCTGCTAGCATAAAGAGAAAGAAGGAGGTAGCAGGGAACTGGACTTGATGAACAGGATTTCTTTTTTTAATGTAAAATCTGCTTCTAATGTAGTTATATTGACTGGGGGTCATTCACATAATCACTTCCTCACATGCAATAAAAACAGAGTCTCAAACAAGACCATTTCTAGCCAAAGGGCTTTTAAAATAGCTTAAGTGACAAGCTTTAGTGCCTGCCCTTTCTCAAAGCAAGATGTGCATTAGGCATTGAGTTTTTGAAATCAGATCTTCATCTGGAAGATACTGAAGTGTTGATGTACTGCTTGGTTTAACTAAAAATTCTGACATTCTAAGACATTAGTGTTTTTCTTTGTTACGTTCTTTCTCCATAAAAAGAAAAGAAAAAAAGGAAAAAAAAAGAAAAAGAAAAAAAGGATGTATAAGACACTATTTTGTTAAAGTGCTGTAAGTTCACATAGCTTTTGTAATTTTTTTTTCCCCTAAAACATACATGGATAGTAGTACAGAGTCTAAAGATTAAAGAATTCTTACCTGATGTCAGCGTGCATGAGCTGTCACGTGGATGGAACTGGAAACAAGAAAACGCTCAGGGAGCAAATCTGCAGCGCCAAGACCAGCACGTGCCGGGAGAGCTCTTGCACCAGCCTTGCATTTCTAGTCCAGTACACTCAGGGCTAAAGGTGGCAGATGATTATATTGCCTTTAATGTAAGCCTATAGGGTTCACAAACCTAAGGCTGTAGGGCAAGAGTCCTTTAAATTGCTTCCTCCCATTTGGTAATTTGATAAAAACCCAGATGACAGTAACAAATGTTTGTTTGAACGAGGAAACTTTCTGTGCTTATCAGCAAAGTTTTATCCCAGGACAAGTAAGTATTGCATAAAGGCTCTGGGCAGTGATGGTAAATATCCTGTGGCTGTTTTACAGATTTTTAAAGAGCTCTTAACACTCAAAGCTGTATAGCGAGGGCTTCCCTGTATTGCATTACTGTAAACACACCTGCACTCAACATTTATTAGTGAGTTGTCACTCTTGTTTGTCTTCTTTGACAGGAGACAAACAGGACAGCAACTATGAATCATGCTATTTTTACTCTAGTCTGTTTTTGCAGCACAACAACATAGTTAAACAGGAAGGATGGAGCTGCAAACAAGATACTAGCTGGTTATTATACTATGTTATTTAGAACTGCATTTTTCTCTCTCATTCTTTAGCCTCTAGATGAATATTATGGGTAATCAATCAAGAAAACCCAACCTAAGATTTCTGGGCTCTGGAACCATTTCCATTTTGGGCTGCTGTAAAAGACAGATAGTTAATTACCTGTTTGCCCTGTCTTTGCTGAACAGCTCATTTTTGGGTTCTGGAATACTTAAAATATATTGAATACAGCTTTTTGAATATTTGTTTTACTAGACTCTTGAGGTCCCATGAATCATTTTCTGACTCTTGTCGTTGCTCTGCATAGTTAAAATCCATACTGTGATTAAAAAGGGCATTGCAAACATCACAGGTGCCTTTGTGCTCCTGTGCAGGAGTATTTAGCAGATAACATTTCCATGACTGAATCCTGGAATGCAGAGTACTTCCTTTTGAAAAGTTCTGTATTTTAGTTCCTTGGGAACAGCAGCTGCTCTGTACAGATGGCACACACTATCTATTAGCCAAGTTGTACTCTTCGTACTAGAATTGTGTTGTATCTGTGACGGGCTATAATAGCAGAGCAAAGTAAATTATGTAGGGAAGGGCTAATTTCTCAGACCATTGTTATTGTTGGGAACAAAAGGCAAGCTTATGTGTACATGAGTGACTTCAGAATCAATCTACAAAGCTAAAAATGATGCTGAGAGAAGCAGTTCTGAATTAACTGGAGCTGTTAATCAGGTCATCCAGGCACAAGAGTTCTTTGCTGCTGCAAGGGGACAGCGTGTTACACAGTGGGAGGGAAGATATATTGGCAGAGCAAGATAGTTCCTTACCCCCAGGTCTTCTAGCCCTAGATAATCCTTTAGATAGTGAGAAGTACGACCAATAAAAACAGCGAGGGAAAAAGTCAGTGCTCCCTTTTCTCACTGGTTATTCCAGAGAAATTCTGTGTCAGTAACACTTCAGGTTTGTACAAGCACTGGAGATGGATGTGCACATGCACTCCACTACCCACACTCAGGCTCCCACTGCAGCTTTGTAACTGTGTTCTTTACACTGTGAAACAAAAGTCATCCTATGATGGGCAACTTTACCTCCTCTTTTTCAAGTTAAAAACACAGCAGCACGTGTTTACTGTTGTTGCTTGCTCACAGGAGGAGAAGATCTGGGATGCCGTGAAGATCACTGCCTATGTCCTGATGGTGGGGCTGCTCACATTCACTGCTTTAATGAACACTGTTTCTGGGTAAGATTATTCAGACAAAAGGCCTGAGGAGAAACATTTTTGGACAGAGATGGGAAAAGTGGTTGATTAAAGGATGGGTGACTGAGAACACTTATTCCCGCAGGTATGTACAGGAGATATGGGAAACTTCAGGCCATTTCTGGCAAGCAACATGGCTAAAGCTCTACAACTTTTTTGAGGGAAGGGAGTGGGCAATCTTCTTCTTTGGTGAGTTCTCAGGATAACAACCCTCCCTCCACTGTGTGACGGATGCCATCCAGCTATTGCCTCTAAAAGAGGGACAAGGACATGCCTTCCCCTACTAAAAAAAAAATGCATATGGGGCCTCAGAGCCATCCACAACTGACACAGTGCAACTGTGCTTCCTTTGGACTAGCTCCTCATTAGATGCCTTATACAGATTAAAATTTTCATCTTTTTGCTCTTGCTGGGTGCACAGAAATGTCTTTACTCCACACTTCTTGCTCCAGTGAGAATTGAATGACTCAGTAGAACTAACTACTGAAAATTAAAGCAAATGGGTGAATTTTGCTATAGGAACTATACAGCTGTGCCTGTCACTAGCACTTGGTGAACAGGCCAGGCAGGGATGTTGCAAGACGCAAGGATCTACGCAGCCATGTCCAACTTGTATTTAAGCCCATCCCTGACAGAGAACACCGCAGCCTCCCAAAAGAGCCCTTTCTTACTCTGTTTTGGCAAGTTTCAGCCTAGGGGACACTTGTGTGCTGTAGCTTTCTTGCTATCTCGTAGGTCTTATCATGGTGTCAGGAAGTACCTGCGTTCTATTTTAAAGCATCTCAGGACAGGAAACACAAACCTTGCACAGCTGGATCCCTGCCAGGGCCCTCTGGACATTGTAATTTGTTTCTCATTTACCCATATCTCCTATTTGTTAACATGTCCCTACCTTTTTCTCCTGTCACAGGTGCTGCACTGGTTCCTAGTCTTGTTTTTTGGAGTTTCAATGGAATCCTTATGGTGGCTGATGTAACAGGAAAACCAGATTTCATTACTCGGTATCGCATTCAGCTGGGCAAGAATGATCCTGTAAGTGTTTCTCACTGTGCCTCTTCTGCTGGCTAAACACTTCCCGCAGTCTCAGGCTTGGAGAGGAGAAGCTGTTAAGCAATTCTCTTGGAAGGAGGTGGGACTCAAGAAGCACCAAGTTGAGTCTTGTACATCAGCTGCAGAGAGGAAGGCAGATTTTGTGATTATGCTACTGATTAGATCTGTATTATCTGACAGCTTATTAAGAAGCTGATGCCCAGACTAATATGAAAAAACCCACTGTGCACCTGAAAGGCTTTTATCCTGCCATTTCAAAATCACGTTGCTTCTGGTATAGCCTGAAGTCCCGACTTCTCTTTTGTAGGTGGACACCCAGAAATTGCAGCAAGCGATATACACAGCGCTGTGTAATCAGTTCTTTGTGTCCTTCCCTATGCTTATACCCATGTTCTACATCATGAAATGGTGGGGAAACACCTTCAGCATGGAACTACCCACCTTCCGCTGGTTCCTTGTGGAGCTCAGCATCTTCACCATCCTAGAGGAAATGCTCTTCTATTATTCACACAGGTGAGCTAACACAGGAGCGGGACTCTCGCCAGTCTTTCAAGGTTGAGAACTGTACCCTTCTTTTATAACAGCAGTAGACACAGCATTCCCATAAATATATTGATTTCCCTTTGGACTAATGCACACAGAGAACCTAAAAAGGCCATTTCTTACTAAGGATCCACATAATCTAAAATCCTGTCTCTAACAGATGTCAGTAGGAGAAATCTAGAATGGTGAAAATAAAGTGAGTCTCTTCCCCCAAAGTACTCCCAGGTTTGAGCCTAGACTTTTGTGTTTTAAGAGCAGCCAATGGACCTAATCATTGACTGAGGGCCCAGTGACAGAGACAGGGAAACCGTGAGTCCTACATTGTTATTCCCAGCTGCTCGAAAATCTCTTCATTAAAGGGAGAACTGTGAGCAAGGCTGCAGCAGAAATTCAGTGTCATGTTGCTCTGTGTTCCTTTCTTATGAGGCTCAAACCAGCATTTCTGTTTTCTCTACTTAGGCTTGCTCACGTCCCCCTCCTGTACAAGCACATTCACAAGAAGCACCACGAATGGACAGCCCCCATTGGAGTCGTCTCCATTTATGCTCACCCCGTGGAGCACATAGTAAGTGGTTTCCTCAGTGTTGACCCCAAGTTCCTGCATGGAACGTGATTTCCGTGGGATGAGGATGAATGGTGAAAGAAGGAAGGCAAGTTCAGCGGCTCTGGTGCATGGCTGACTGCCATCTCCTGTAACAGCAGCCCGAGCTGCAGCTCCAGCTCCAGAAAGCAGTTCGAGCAGCGTGCGGAATTTGGAGTCTCTTGAGATTCGGGAGCGCAGATGATCCTGGCTAGTGCAGTAAGCTTGGGCTGGGCAACGAGAGCTGCCTGTGCTGCTGGTAGCACAGTGAAGTGATGCAGCTGGAATTACCACAGTGCTACGTTTAACTGCATGTGCCCAGAGGCCAGTGGCCAGGTTGCCCAAGAGCAGCTTCAGCGTTATTCCAAAGGGAAGGTCAAATTCAGACCTCTGACTCCAGGGAGAGTTATTAAAAGTGCTGTCCTTGCACCCTTTCTTTGAATTCACATCTAATTTTTCCTACAAGCTTGGACAGTTGGTACGTGCTGTAGCAAGTACAGCCCTGTTGCCTCAGAGCAGATTATGCTCTGGTATTTTGGTTGGTATCCTAGTGAGGCATTTGCAGAGGGGTCTCACCTTTGCAGTATTTTCACAGAACTAATGCAATGTATCATCCAAGTGAGGCTGCATTTTGTGGACCCACTAACGAGGTGGAGTTTGCTTCTCATTTCTAGCTCTCCAACACGTTACCCGTCATGACGGGCCCGATGGTGATGGGGTCTCACATCGCTTCCATCGCGGTGTGGTTCTCCCTGGCGCTCTTAACAACGAGCATTTCGCACTGCGGCTACCACCTGCCCCTGCTGCCGTCGCCGGAATTCCACGACTTCCACCACCTCAAGTACGTGTGGGCTCTGCTCAGCCTCCCCTTCCCCTCCTGCCCGTGCACTGTCCCTGCTTTTGAAGGTCAGGTGGTTTTGCATGACTCATGATGAAGCAGAGTTCACTTAGGAGGACAAATGCTCAGTTCTTTAAACAGCTACAGCACAAGTCTGGATTTCAAAGGATTGCAACTGCTCTCCTGTGCCACTGCCAGCCACGTCCCCGAGATCTGCGTTTCTCCATCAGCTGACTTGCAGGCTTTCAACAGAGCACAACACAGCGGCTGAGGCTGTTTCAGGGTTCCTTAAGATTCCATGGGAAAAGCACAAGGCAGTAGGTATCACCTGGCCTTCCCCAGGACAAGCGCAGGGTCAAAGATGGATCTTTGCAAAGTTTTTCCCAGAAGCTTAGAAAATACTGCACAGGATCTAGAATAAAGGGAGAGCAAGGGCCAACTGCACAGCTGATATGTTTGCAGAGGAGCCTGCCCCATATGCTGGGGTTAACAGCATTCTGATCAGGGATCCTGCCCAGGCAACCTCTTGACAAAAGGCCTCAGCCCCCTTTTCTCCCAGAGAGAGCTGTTAGAGATACAAAAGCAGTGGAAGATTGTTCAGATGCTCATTAAATCCTGCAAATATTCCCTTTAACCCAGTTTGCCTCTCCTGTTGGAGCAGGAGATACTCTCCTCAGTGCAGCACAGCACCCAGAACAGAGCCCACTCGTTACCAGCCCCTTCCTCGGGGCTCAGCTCCCGGCAGGACGCGGCTCCCGCAGGCGCCGGGCTCTTCCCCGCAGCCCTCGCTGGGCGGCCCGGCCTCGGGGCTTTCCTGCTCCCACAGCGCTGAGCCGCCCCGGAGCACGAGAGCTGCTTCTCAGCAGGCTCTGTTCTGGGTAACGACGCAGAGAGGTGCCAGGAGCAGTTTCGCCCAAGCTTCAGCAAGGGTGGCAGACAGACCTCTGCTGGAGGCTGCCACCACCGGGAAACGACTGGGCGGCCTGCGAGGAGAGGGATGGAATAGGAAGGGCCTCCAGTGACGTCTGTCTGTCCTCTGTTTGGCTGGCAGGTTCAACCAGTGCTACGGAGTCCTGGGACTGCTGGATTATCTTCATGGAACAGACACCCTGTTCAGACAAACAAAAGCCTACAAGAGACACCGAGTCCTCCTCAGCCTCACACCGCTCTCCGAGAGCATCCCTGATTCTCCCAAGAGAGCAGAGTGAGGCCCACCGGGTCCCAGCCCATGCACAGCCGGACCAGGAGAGCTAGAGACAAGGATTTATGCCAAACAGTGTTTTAATGTGGAAGAAGGTCATTACTCTTCTTAAGTAACAAAACTCAAAGCTGAACTCAGAAATGCTACTTGAGATTCCTGCATTTGCTGCCTGTTAATTCCTGTCTAGGGCACAAAAACTTTCTCTAGAAAGGTATTTTAAATATATATATATATATTTAATTATTTGTGCTGTTCCTTGGTTCTTGCTGCCTGCCCCTAACCAGATGTGTTCTAGGCCATGTGGTTGGTTGTTTTTTTTGGTGGATGGAGGCGAAGAGGGCCCTGTATGAAGGCCCTAGCACATTTTCACAGGCCATACTTTTGGCCATATTACTACTCTTTCAGCTGAATATACAGAATTATCAGTAAAATTACGACAACTACACCATGTAGGGATTCAAAAGCACTATTTCAGTGAAATTCGACTTTACCCAATCTCAGAATGCCTTGGATGGGGGTTTATTTGTCCTGAACCCCATGGAAATGGGGCCTTGACTTAGGAAACACGCGCCATAGACACTGCAGGGGCTCCAGGTTCCCGTGAGCAGCGCCTCAACGTGCAGGAGCCTCGTACAGACCTGAATCCTCAGCTCTGCAAACTAACCTGCAAGTCACAGAGTCCCAGGACGGTTGAGGTTGGCAGGGACCTCTGGAGATCATCTAGTCCAACCCCCATGCACGAGCAGGGGTGCACGGGGCACAGGGCGGCATCCAGGCGGGTTTGAAGATCTCCAGAGCAGGAGCCTCCACAGCCTCTCTGGGCAGCCTGTGCCAGGGCTCGGGCACCATCACAGTGAAGTTCCTCCTCACATGGAGATTAAACTTCCTGTGTTTCAACTTACACCCGTTACCCCTCGTCCTGTCACCAGCCATCACAAAGAAGAGCCTGCAAATGTAAAGCAAGTTTCTGCCATGTGGGCTACAACAAAGCACAAGTGGGAGAACTTGGGTTTTTACTGTTAAGTGATATGAGAGAATCAAGGGAATAAGAAGTCACCACTCCCATGGGAGCACGTGCATCCATGGGTACCTACGCAATAGGAATTATTTTCGCCAGGATCCTCTTAACATCTGGGGACCTGGTACACAAAACAAATAAATAAATACAAAATCAGATTAATCATTGCTGGGTCCGTGTTCTTCTTAGGGAATTTTTCTGAGAACCCCGTGCAGCCGGGCCGCACCGCGCTGCCCGCGCCAGCTCCTGCCCCTGCGCGCGGGAGCTCTGCCGCTCACACGACCCACGGGCCCCTCCAGAGGAGGCTGCAAGACAAACCCCACAGCGCACTGTCTTTTGAAGTTTTTATTTTTATACATTTTTTTTGTATTAAAAAGGAAAAAGCATAATTACCACAAATTACAAAGGACTAAAGCATTACTAGAATAATGAATCACATCAGCCTAGAAAGCAGATACTCTGAATAATATTAATGTTATAATACAAGCTCTCATTCAAGTATTTTACATTTTTCTCTTTTCCTTTTATATGTGATGATGATTCTAGCACATGGGTCAAAGATTATGTACTATCGACATAAGATGGATCATGTACAGCGGGCCATATTAACAAGATTTTCCTCTGAAGTGATAAATGGTCTGTGATGAGTCATTTTAAGTTCGTCTCTACAATAAATGCAGCTGAAGAAGGTTGCACACACTTTCTAGATCGGGGAAACAGAGGGCTGGGGTCGGGACACACACAGCTGGAGAAGGGCCAGCACATCAAACCATCACCCCCTTCGTCCGGGCGAGCTAGCGGGAGGCCGAGGCCCGTTCCTGGCCGTGGTGGCGGGCCGGACCGGCTGCCCTCCCC